ACCTCATAGAACATTTTTTATTCAATATTTCAATTATTTTAGCTGTTTTGAAAAATGGAGAGTCTTGTTTCATTTTTTCCTCTTGAAAATCATGTGCTGTTTGTCTCCTAAACAGCGGTAAGGTTGTGGGTGTGAATACTTTTGCACTCAGACCTATAAAGCCAATTTAATATCCTTCTGTTTTAGGCACTGTTCTTCTGTTTTCAGTGATTCCTAAATAACAGACATGTCCTAATGATCTGTAATGTCCATAGAGCGCTGAATTAGAACATGTTGGATTACATTTCTGTTTCTCTTATTACGTGTGAACCCTTTAAACTCTCTCAGGTGTTCAGAGAACGTCCTACTATATGTTCCCAGAACTATGACTGAAAAACTGAGACCTGATTTGGGTCCAGTGCTTCTCAGCTGTGAAGCAACTCCATGAAGTCCTAAGATTTCAATCAGAGCTGAAAATATTGTTTACCGCAACTTCTGATCAGCTGGTCCCATGATTAAGCTGTTTATCCATTAATCAAATGATACAGCTGAGAATGAGTATTATATTTGCTTTTCAATACGCGTTTGCATTTAGACAGCCGTCCCTGGTGTTTGACATAATAATGTCCCTCTTTAAACTAAGCTTAAAGGTTTTTACTCTGTTGTCTTTCATTGATGCTTATAGAAACATCTTGTTTTGTACAGTTTTGATAAAGCCATGCAGGAACTGACCAGCGTTGCCGGTCGGTTCACCGATGATCTTTTTGAGGTGTTTTGGGAGATGAGAGCTCACCTCTACCTGCATGCTGCCACGCTGCTGCTGAAAATGGCTCAAGATCGGCAGGAGACGTGGAGATCCGTCGTTGACCTGGCCGCGCTGTGCTACCTGCTGGCATACCAGGTACTGAAGATAAATCAAACTAGGACACTTCTCCTTTCCAGTTTATTTTTTTTTACTGAAAATATCCCCTGCAATTTGCCAGATTCCCATTCTAATTATTTCCTTTTTTTTCACCAGTCTCCCAGACCAAAGGCAAAAGTGACCAAAAGGGACCAGTCTGCTCCGCAGCTCCTGGAGCTGCTGGCCAATGACCGGCAGAGTCAGGCTGGGCACATGCTGTTCAATCTGAGCAAAGATGTGTTTACTTTGATCAAAGAGGTCAGCTTGCTTTTGCTCTGGTTTATCATAAAATCTAGATGTAGTTCACATAGATTTTGTGCCGAATTTAAAGAACAGATGGCGGTTAGACCCTCACTTTTATCAATGTTTAGAAAAATATGTCAGGATTTTTATATATTTTTTTAAAATGAGGGTACTAGAAGTGAGGTAATGTCCGGGAGTCCACTTAGCTTTACAGCTGTAAACGATGGATACCAATGCTAATTCAGACAATGTTTTTTTTTTATTATTATTATTTTTTTTTTTTTTTTTAGATAATTTCATTTTCAAATCTGCATAAATGAAAATGTGATAAAGTATTTAACAAAAAAAAAAAAAAAAACATTCGAAATGCTGATTTTTCTGTTTTTTTAAGATGAGGTTTGGATGCCTCATGTGGTCCCTTACTAGATGTGCTGTTGAAAAAGAATACACTAAAGCATTTTATGAGTTTTAAGAATGATTAGCTGTTTATTATATAGCTGTCTAACACTTCTTTCTAGTAACAAATGTGAAATATTTTTTCTTGATGTAGGTGGTGGAGGCATTTGGAAACCGTAGTGGTCAGGAGTCTCTGTTTGAACTCCTGTGGGGTCAGCAGGCTTCCCCTGCATCCTCTTTTATCGTCAACGATGACATTCGCTCTCTCAGCTCTTTGGCTCCAGAGCTCTCCCAACTGGCTAAATGGGACACGGGTAGGAAACTTAAAAACTACCCATGCATCAACCGTTCCCTTATTAATGACTTTCTCTTAACTGTAATAACTAAAAAATATATATATTTTTAGGCTCCATCTTGTTGCACAGTGGTGAACTGCAGCATTTGAGCTGGTTGGGGCTCCAATGGACTCTTCTAGAGCAGAGGCCACCCATGCGGGACTGGCTGCAGCAGCTGTTTCCAAGGCTTACACTGGAAACATCCAAGTTGGACACCAATGCACCAGAGTCCATCTGTCTGCTAGACCTTGAGGTGAGCTTCCATGATAAGGGGCTGTTTGATGGAGCAAAAGGATCAATAAACCAAGATTGGCTCCAAAAGAATCTCAATGAATTAATCAACCTTTACCTAAAGAAGAGTAGCAGAAAAAAACCTTGGGTAGCAGCAGCTGTGCTTAATGACAGCATGACTTTAAGCAGCTTTCTCATTGGTGTGGAGATTTTTTCAAATCAACAGAGCTGACGAAGCACCCCTGAAGACGCTCTTGTTGAAGTTAGGTTTTTCCAGAGTAATAAATATCTGGTGGGTATGAAGTTATAGTTGAAAACTTGAACAAAGATTTTGGATCTCTTGCAATCTTCTTCCTTTTGGTGGCAGTCACCTTAGGGGGCAGCGGTAGATGCCTGCGACTATAGCCTGGATGTAGGGACAGCAAATGGTGCCACCATCTACGTTCTTGGCAATGACTGCTTTTTGGCCTGCATAGCGTCCTGCTAACACAATTACTACCTTCCCAAGCTTCATAGATTTGCCCATTGGGATGCTGCTCTATGGCCACCGCTGACATGAAAAGGACATCTAGGGCACAAAGAATTCCCCACAAAATCTTCATGATAACTAAACTTTTATGCAGCATTCAGATCACCACATGGTATAACTTTGTATAAGAATATAGTTAAATCTCAGTAATTGTTTGTGGGCTGAAAAAAATCATAAGCATCCCTAAATAAATTTATTTTAGCTTTTAGCTTGTCTGCAAGAAACTGAATCTGTCCAGTCATCCAGCTATTAAAGGTTTTCTCCTGGGATTGCCCTGCATTCACAGAAATAAAACTTCCCTTCAGGATGATACTCCCTCTACTTAAGCAATAGTTAATAATTTTTTTTATAGCTTATATGCAAAAAACAAAATTTTTGATT